ACAATGTTGGATTTATAGCTAGAGCTAGTACATACAATACCTAAAGCCACTAATACGCACAGCGTTCTGGGCAAAAATATATAACAAAACTATTGTCGTCTGGAGTTAATTTCACTTCCAGACACCTATTTTTAACAACACTTAAATGTTTTCTGGCTATTTATGTTTAATATTATTGTACACTTGCACCAGAGGTGGTATTATATTTATGCATTCTTGTAGTTAATATCATTAATTCAATTTATGACAATTTGAGCAGAGAAGTTTGATGTGTGTACAGGAGGCTGATATGCCAGCAAACACTCTCCAGGCAACAATGTATCTTGGATAAGTCGCTCCACAACATTGTCGCTTGGACCGTCAACTTGCTTTGGCATCACCAGCTCCTTATTTTTATCTAATTTAGTTATAAAATGATACTTTTTCAGAGTAAAATTATGTTTTTACATGTTCTACATTCAGCACCAACATTATAATGAGTAAATGTATTATATTTATTCATTACTAACAATGCTAGGAAACTTTGGGTAATTAGACGGACCGGTTATGGGTGACTTTGGGTAATTAGATGGATCCGCTCTGGGTGTGGAGAGTTTTAGCTACACACCAGCCAATCAATTGTCTAATTAACATGCATTCATATTAAAATTACATTCAATACCATCATTATAGGGGGGTAAATATGTCATATTTCTTCATTACTTATGTAATGCCAGATGGTTTTGGGGTAGCATTGGGTAACTATGGGTGGCTTTGGGTAATTAGATGGACTCGCTCTGGGTGTGTGGAGCTGTACACATCAGCCAATCAATTGTCTAATTAACATTCATATACTTATACCAATTGACCTTCAAGAATTATATTTCAGAAGACAGACAGAATTGTAAACATTAATGTGACTACATATCAAGGCATATATATTTTTAAGTGAAAGCCAAGATATGGTTAAATAAATAATACCACATAATTGCCGCTATCTTATTGACAAATTAAAATTACATTTAATACCATCATTATAGTTGGTAAATATATATTTCTTCATTACTTACGTAATGCTAGGAATTTTTGAGTAGCATTGGGAAGCCTAATTATAAACCTTAATATGTTCTATACCATCAGAAATTCTTAAAACATACAATATATTTTCAAATATTTGTCATTAGAGTATATATTCTGAAAATAATCATGTATTTTATTTACCCCAAAATAGAGCACAAATATCGTAGTCTCATCCTGTGAGTGGTAATTTATTGTGCACCCCATGCTCATCCCTTTGAGATTATTTACATTTACTCCTTGCTTGATAAGTTCAAGATCTTTTGAGTGCACGAAAAGATGTTTTAGAATTACAGTATTCAAAGGGAATTAGTAATGTATAGCTAGCTCTAAGCAGAGCTGCTATTGTTCCAGTAACTAGTAAAACATTATAATTAACATTCCAGATGAGGTAAGATTTGAGACCACAAAAATCCAGTAGCATTTCTATCATATTCGTCTGTAGTTGAACCATTAAGAATGCCTCTTAAATGTCACCCAAGCACACATGTGTGTGGAGACTAAAGTTATTATCAATAGAAAGCAACAAGGCCAGATGGGTTTATTGCACCATATATGAGAGGATATTCAAAAGGTTCTACATATCATTCAGAATGTCTACGTGAGCAGAAAGACATAAGACGAGTGATGTCAATGGAATCAGATTCTCAGAATCTGTATCCTGGGAATGTGTATGTGTATTAGTCGATAAGAAAGGTGGGATCCAAGAGCTAACAGCTCGATCCTATGGGTACAAATAGCAAATACACAAACAATTCATTTCATGAGGATTCCATCTCATTGTCACCTTATGAAAGATGCAACTCATGAGTTATGCAATGCACTATTCACAGTTCACAAACTAAAATGATACATCGCTGATTTCCCTACAACTGCACTCCCGAAACATTTGTCTTTAAAGTAAATAAATAAATAAAATATACATTGGGACCTCAACCACCCATCCCATGATGGACTGCGGGCCTTGGAATGCAGATATATGCTCAATTAAATTTAGGCATTAATTTTTCTGGATTAAAAATTTCTATAATTTTTCTGTTATAGGTGCAGTTCTTATTCCTACTACTATCTCCTCTACTATACTTTGCTTCTCACCTCTCTCTAGCCTATTTATTGCCTGCATCTATTTCCTCATCACAATCGACTTGAGAATGGTCCAGTACGGACCGAAACGTCGTCGTCCCTTCACCTTCTAGTGTGTGGTCTGGTCAACAATTTTTCTGGACTTCATAGTGAAAGATGTAACACAATGTGTTACATGTATGTGGGGGAAAAGAAAAACCCCACTCTTTGTAACAGTAAGCCCCACTTGGAGGGTCGAAAAACCCAGGTGGGGTCCAACGGGGCCCAAGGCCTCTAAGTCAGCTCCTCCCCAACCCCGGGAACCTCCACGTCAGGCCCTGGGGCGAGTTGTTTTACAAAACCCCGGCCACACAAGAAAAAACCTGAAAGAGCAGGAAGAGAGTGGGCCCACTGGAGGAACAGACTCGAATGCCTCCATCGCCACCCCGGAAAGGGCAACCCCCTGAAACCGCCCGAGTCTCATAAACCTCTAAACCCTGCCCTGACACAGAAGCCCTCAGACGCTTAGGAGCCAGAAGCAGGGGAGGGGAGACCGAATGAACCATAGCAGGGGAAGAATGAGGGGGTGCAGACAGAACCAAGGCTGACGTGACCAACACCCCCAAGTCTGGGTCCCTATAAGCATAACTGGGCATCCGGGAAAGCAACCAACCTAGCACGTTGCAACAACGTAAACCTATCTTGCAATGCGTGAGCCACCTGCACACAAATAATGACATCATCAGATTGGGTGAACTGAGTCACAAACAAGCAACAAAGCTCGCAGGACTCTGGGTCGAAGGTGTCACCGATCCAACAGGCAGCATGACGGAGGCAAAAACAATAAGCATCGCCCTGAGAGAAGGGGACAGAGCAACCCTCAAACTCACAGAAAGCAAGAGGGGACTCAGATCGCATCCATCGGACCCGAGTGCCCCCATGAGGTTTCCCAGGGCCCCTAGACTGGGTCTGCTAAGGGTAATCCCAGGCACGGTACTGCTAACCGGCGCCCAAGCTACCAACCGACACTGCTAAAGCTGAACCCCCAGGACATGTCCACTACGAGGGCAAAGCAGAGGATACCACCAAAAAAGGAACACACCCTAAGATAACAGGGGAAGTAAACACTAAAGCAAATCCCCCTCCCCCACCACCAGGCAAAAAAGAAAAAAGAAAAACCTCGCAAGAGGACAACGTACCCAGAAGGATCAAAGCCGGATAATGTTATAGGTGAAAATTAGCTGCGCAGTACCCCCCGCACCCCTACCAGTGCAAAAACTACCACTTACCCCAAAAGTAAACAAGGACGGAAACCTCCCAAACACTCGGGGCGGTCGATTGCCAAGCAGCAAATGACCAACATAGGTAGACCCAAGGTGACTTGTGGAAGAGAACCCCAAGCCCCAAGGGTGGTACGTACTTACAGGGCATTTAGGGAAGAGAACCCTAAGCACATGCAGCCCGAGTACCCAGGAATAATACTACCAGCTCACACGCCACTGTAAGAGCAGTACTGAACCAAGGCACAGCTCAACACAAGAGTCTGGAGCTGGAGCCACACGACCGTGATGATGCCTCACACCAGCCAAAGAACTGGGGTGTGGATCGCCGGTGCGGGGTCTGGGGCTCCCCCTTCCGGGAGCTGCGCAGACATGTGGCACGGCTCGTGTGACGTCATGCTCATTTGCTCGTTTTCATTGGGAGGAGTTCTGTACACTCGTTTGTCTATTTTCATTGTTTTAAACCAGAATACGGGTTTGTTTTGGGGCACTTACCTTTCTGGGTACCTGTTCCAGTTGATGGCAGATATAGAATGCCCCAAAATCACATGTACATTTCTATAGGCCATTGCTCCTCGTGCCTCTCTGAGGGGGCCAGGTTCTGGCTCGTGGTCCCTAGTAGGCCTAAAAAAATTAAAAAATGTAAAATATCACCAATTGTTCATTTAGTGTTATTATGCTCTCAGAATAGCATATGATTTTCATTTTCATATGTTTAGAATATAGGTTTTCAGTATAGTTTACTGTAAAAAAAAAAATTGTCAATGTTGCATTTGAAATATGCGCAAATTTAGACAACACAAATTTATAACTCCAAACATTTAGGGTTTATGAAAAATCAATTCTATAGGGAATGTAGAACAGACAGCTGTGCACACTATATGTAAAAATGGTGAGAATTGGTCAGAAACTAGATTTTTGGATACTGAAGTAAGTTGAAATTCTAGATATAGATATAATTGAAGTTGAAGTTATTGACAATGAATAAGGCAGTTCTAATTCATGAATGTACTTGTACGTTTTAATAAATACTGTTTAGCATTCGAAAAAATACCCCCCTCCCCGCCCCCCCCAAAAAAAACATACTGTATAGAATAATTATAATACATTATAATGATTTAGGAGAAACATTTAGGGTATACTTTATATAAGTGAAAAACCCTAAACAGGTCCCTAATCATCAAAACAACCTAAAGGTACAAAGAAAATAAAGTTAGAAATCTGTGTGAAAATCAGCCAAAAAAAAATTCAGTCCCAAGTTCTGCAAGTTATGACTGATTTATTTGTTGACTAATTTCATTTTCTCTTCACATTGTTACGGACTGGTATGCACTCTCCAGGATGTGAAGGTTACACCAAAATCACATAATAAACAAAGGAGGAAAATAAATCCGCTAAAAAAAAAAAAAAAAATTTGGACATTGATGAAAGTAACAGATAACAACATTGGGCAATGTATTTATATGATATATAACAAAATAGAGCATAACAACATGCTTACTTATTATTATGTATTACTCAGCAATGCTATAAAGGCACCAGCTGCATATCCACTTTGTGGACACACACTCCAACCCCTGCCTCGCACAAGCTCTCCGACCCATGCCTCGCACAAGCTCTCCGACCCATGCCTCGCACAAGCTCTCCGACCCATGCCTCGCACAAGCTCTCCAACCCATGCCTCGCACAAGCTCTCCAAACCATGCCTCGCACAAGCTCTCCAACCCATGCCTCGCACAAGCTCTCCGACCCATGCCTCGCACAAGCTCTCCAACCCATGCCTCGCACAAGCTCTCCAACCCATGCCTCGCACAAGCTCTCCGACCCCTGCCTCGCACAAGCTCTCCGACCCCTGCCTCACACAAGCTCTCCGACCCCTGCCTCGCACAAGCTCTCCAACCCCTGCCTCGCACAAGCTCTCCGACCCCTGCCTCGCACAAGCTCTCCAACCCCTGCCTCGCACAAGCTCTCCAACCCCTGCCTCGCACAAGCTCTCCGACCCCTGCCTCACACAAGCTCTCCAACTCCTGTGGGAAATTTTCCAAGAGTTTATTATATTTATAAATTAATTAAATGGACTGTATGAATAAATTACATGAGTGGACTGTATGAGGTTTAATGATTACTTGGATGTTCCACTACCACAAGATTCTGGGGGGTAGGTTTAATAATGGTAGATCTACCTAATGAATTAAATGTTTCAATAATTTCAGTGATAACATTTTATGAGTAAATAATAGTTATGGAGTTAATAAACTAACTACAATATCATAACTAAAGGTTTATCAGCTTAGCTGTCAAGAAGGTAATGAGAAGTGCGTCTGACAGTCTCCCGAAATCAGTCAATTCCTAGTCTCAACGTGACGGCGTCGTGGACATGTGATTCACAAGTTGAGATGACCAGCTTTCGTAGGTATACTCCACGCTGTGAAGAACATGCACTATAATTTATATAGAATTATAATAATCTCAACTAATCTCCATAAAAGGGATTAACCGTTTTACAGAATTAAACTTACTCAGGTTATTTTGGTGTTCTACGTCATAACGGCCGGTTGATCTAAAGTTATTATGGCCAGAAAAAACTAATAGATAGTCACTTATCCAACTGGACGTGATGTCCCCAATGTTGGATGAAGCATGCAGCAGCGTCTTGGATTCATAATTGCACAGATGGTCCCAAATTAACGCGATGCTAAGTTGCAAGCTTCCCGGGAGATGTTGTCGTTATGGTTCTCAGAGAGCAAGTGTCGCGTGCGCCCTCTACCTTCCTCTCGGTGAATGGTCTCAGAAGATAAGTCACGATATTAAACTTTGTCCTATTATCTATGAAGACATTACCGACGTTATTTTACATCTTAACATTACACTTCAGATATTGGCAGACGATTTTCCACTATTTATATCATTGGACCAAAGTATCAATAGATAAAAAGCACATACAGTATACGTAAATAATATACAGGTCGTGACTTATTTAATCGGAATCAGCTGATCGCACCTGTGGAAATTTCCACCTAGAGATGGTGGTATAATTTGTTTTAATGAATTAAATCAAGTTCCAATCTAAATTACCTAACAAATTTAGTAGAGGTTAGACTGGGTTCAATTCGATTTAAATAAAGAGTTTGTTCTCGTGGAACTGAGGGGGCTGACGAAACAGCGGCCATGTATACAGTAGTAGGAAGGTTTTGACTTCCCTACGCTATAAGTTGGTAATGCTCTCCAATCCCTGTCTCACACAAGCTCTCCAACCCCTGCCTCGCACAAGCTCTCCAACCCCTGCCTCGCACAAGCTCTCCGACCCCTGCCTCAAACAAGCTCTCCAACCCTTGCCTCACACACGCTCTCCAACCCCTGCCTTGCACAAGCTCTCCGACCCCTGCCTTGCACAAGCTCTCCGACTCCTGCCTCGCACAAGCTCTCCGACCCCTGCCTCGCACAAGCTCTCCAACCCTTGCCTCGCACAAGCTCTCCAACCCTTGCCTCGCACAAGCTCTCCAACCCTTGCCTCGCACAAGCTCTCCGACCCCTGCCTCAAACAAGCTCTCCAACTTCCAGCCACCTTCAGCACTACATCCTACCTGACTTGCCAACTGCACATAGCAAGCAAGCATCCTCATCTTAATCTGTCATGAAACCGTCATACCATTTCTAACATCCAATTGCCGAGACCAAGCTATATTAAATAAACATCAAAAAGCACTATACTCATTGAATATTGTCACCCAAAATTATGTATGTTTCAGGAGGAATCTCAATAAGATATCTTATGGGAGCCACCAGGGAAACTCCTTTCAGAAACTGAAAACAAAAGGACACTGGTGTGGGAAGTGTGTAACAGGAAACTTGTATAACATTTGCACCAGGAAATATTACTGAGGGAGGCAAGGTTCAAGGAGAAAGGTGCACATTTCCATGATAGTGTGCAGGTGGAACTCTCATTAGAATTGTTTCACCAATGAGTTGTCTGTTAGACGAATCATTAAATTTATTAGGTAATTCACATACGGTATAATGTTTACTAGGTACAGTTATCACATTTATTGATCATCAACAATATTACATGTGGTTATAAAGCATTATATTAAGCATGCATAATATATAATAAGTACTGTAATAAATTTTGTCAACAGGTAAAGCTTACAGAACATTATATAATTTTTAATCTACAATAATCCACATGCATAAAATTGCTGGAGTAATTACTAGTACAACTTTAATCTGAATCAGAACAAATGACCTCATCTTCATCTCCTCCCATTGCTCTCCAAAATGCAACCGCTACCTTTTCAGCATAATCTCTTCGCTGTTCAAGAGGAAGTGTGGCTGCAGTTCTTTTGAGGTGTTCAAAATTTGAGAACAAGTTTTCAAAATCTTCATTTCCATCACGACACTCTGCTAGCTGACTTGGAACCACTATTTCATCTGAAATTTATTATAAACTTTTTAATTTTTCTATACATTTTTTATATATTTTGTAAAACAAAACCATCCAGCTACAATATTTTAAGATTTTAGTTTAACTAGAAAATGTAGCAGAAACAATCAATTGATACTTAACAGAACAATTGATTTAGTCTAAGTAATTATTTAATACCAGCATTGAATGTAATGAAACGCCAGTTTTTGGTCAAGGCCTGAAGCTATCTGAACTGATATAGTCCTAAATTAGTTGGGGTCATTAGTCACAGAGTTCTTATGCCTACTGGGAACCCCGAGCCAGACAGAACCTGGCCCTCTCTGAGAGGCGCAGAGAGCAATGGCCTATGAACACTACATTTTAAAGTGCATCATATTTGCCATCGACTAGGGAAGCTACCCAGAAAAGTAGGCAAAACAAAACAGACCACTGCTTGGTTAAAATGCAACCTACATCCTCAAAAAAAGCAAGACATACAGTACTGCCAAAGACAGCCAAAAGAGCAGCATACTTGTTCAACAAAGAACCAGTGGCCTGCAGGTAGTGGCACAAAGCCACCACCAGACACAGCACATGATGCACCCCCAACCAAATCAACTAAGCATCCACAATCATCAGACCCCTCCGAAAGCTCACCGTCTCATTCTTCGCCAGAAAAGAAGGAGCCGGCTGCAAACAAACAAAACGACCATCAGGAACAAATGAACAAACCCCCCAAAAGCAAACATGAACCGAAGGGGCCACCACAAACTGAGGAGAATAATGGAAAGAACCCGGTCCAAAGACAAAGAAGGCTCAGGTGGTGCATGAACAGGCCGGAGGTTAAAAAATGCACAAGAAAGCTCGAGGAATGAGGCAGAGCTGACATCCCACCCCAAACGCAAGCTGCAGCGGCTCTGCCACTGCTGCACAATAAGAAGTGTCAGAATTCAGTACGAGATGCCACACCAGGAAAAGCCAAGAGAGAGAGGACAAAACAACCCTCTCTGACTCTAACAAAACCCGATAAAGAGAAAGGCAGAAACCTGATCAAGAAATTTTGTACTGTCGCCGAGAAGAAGACCGCTAGTGGGACACCATCAAAGAAGCCAACTGATCACCGTACAAATGACGATACACCCACGGCAGAAAAATCATGCGTGTAGTGCAAAGGAGTAAGTCAAACAAGCAAGGTACCTCACATGCCCGACCTGCTGAAAAGAGGCTGAGCTGCGGAAAGATGACCTGGTTTGGATGCTGAGCAAGCAGCGCCTGAAACAAGGCTGGGTCGGCCACCATGGGGCCAGGAGAAGATCTCCCCCGCTCCCCACCAGATAGGATTCCAACCGAGCCTGAACCTGGAGCAACAGCTGGACCTGGGGATAGAGGTACAGGAACCTTCCACCCTGAACAATCCTGCTGAAATGCATCCACCCCGAGAGCCATGCAGTCGGGGAATGGTGCCATGCACAATGGGAAATGCCGAAACCACACCGACGCAAAGAGGTCCACCTCCTGGCGCCCATACGTCTGAAAAAAGCCAAAGGAAAGAAGCGGCACAGATCATCCGGCAAAGTCAAAGGAAAGAAACGACACCAATCGTCCACTCTGTGGAAAGAGGAATAAAGTGCGACAGACCATCTGCAAGGATATTGGACTTAGAGAACACAGTGGAAGAGCTACACAAAGCGAATGTCTCCATAGAACCACAGGCCGAAGAGACAACAATCTGTGGAGACAATGAACCACGGGGAAGCAGTCCGAATGGAGAGGGATCACCGAGCCCTGAGGGAGCCAAATCTGCAACAAACTCCTGCACCATGCTTTGAGCCCAATGTCAATGTAAGGACAGCGGCCACCACCCCTGGCCAGATGGGTGAGCACTGGTCATGAAGCCCCAAAGGCGTCTGTGTACACATCGAGCGAGGGAAGAGGAAGGAACCATGGCACCAAACCCTGAAAACCTGAAGAGGAACCCAGCGATGCAGCAACCAACACAAGGACACCAGGGAATGAATGCAGTGATTACGAAAGAGGTAAAAGAGACTGCCCCTAGGATACCAGAACAGCTTCCAAAGCCAAACCCGGCCCAGTGGATAAACCAGAAGAGCAAGGTTCAGACTCTCACACAGCTGCTCGAGCAAACTTCGAGAGACCCAGGTCTCCTCCAAAAACAAGCGTTGAATGTAATGAAATGCCCGTTTCTGGGTGAACCCCATAGTTTCCCTGAATTTATTTTACAGATCAAGTGTTATACTACTTGAGTGTCATCAGTCGCAGAGTCCTTTGTAAGCCTTCCAGGGATCATAAGCCAGAACCTGGCTGCCCTCAGAGAGGTGAAGGGAGCAATGGCCATGAACATTTTACATTTAAAGTATGTCATCTTGACATCAAACCCAGAAAGGTAGGCATATTAAAAATACCACTGTCTGGTTGAAAAATGCAAGCATGTCCTCACAAGTGTAAAAAACCCAGCGTTGAATATAATGAAATGCCATTTTCTGGGCGAGACCCCAGAGGCTCCCCGTAGCTATCCAGGCTGATATGTATATCATTAGACTTTTGGCATCAGTCAGTGTGAATGGAGTTCTAGGCCTACCGGAGACCACGAGTCAGAACCTGGCCTCCTCAGAGAGGCACGAGAAGCAATGGCTTATAAATATACAATCGACTTGAGGTCCAGGACGGACCGAAATGTTGTCGTCCCTTCATTTTCAAGTGTGTGGATTGGTCAACATACTTCAGCCACGTTATTGTGATTCATCGCCTCCAATGGCTTATATAAATGCTCCAAATGAGATTTGGAGCATTTTATGTCTGCCATCGACTATGTCAGGCACTCAGAAAAGTAAGAGCTTCAAAGCAAACCCCTATTCTGGTTAAAACGACTAAAGAAGACTAATGAGTGGACAGAACTCCCAATTGAAAAAGAGCAAGATGTCACACATTCTGCGCCGCATGTCTGCGCAACTTCCCCCCCTCCCCAAGAAGGGGAAAGGGGAAAGCCCCAGACCCACCATGCCTGTGATTCACCTTCCAGTTCGAGGCTGGATGTCAAAACCCGCAAAAAAATGCCGACCAGGGGGGGGGGAAGTGTTGCCTGGGAGCCTCCGGGTCTCACCCAGGAAATGGCATTTCATTACATTCAACACTGGTTTTCTGGTTTTCGGCTCCCAGGGGTTAACTTCGCAAAGACAAGGACATAAGAGGGACAAACCCAGGAGGAGGAAACCACGTGCCCGAACCCGAAAGTAAGACCACAGGCAACACCAAATGACCCTGCGGACAACCTAGGAGACCCGAACCCTGGAGGAATGGTCTTGAAAATGGTTACTAAATTTAAATTCAGGAAAGTGTAAAGTAATGAAATTAGGCAAAGGGAGCAGAAGACTGAACACAAGGTACCATCTGGGAGGTGAAATCCTGCAAGAATCAAATAAAGAAAGATCTGGCGGTTGATATCACACCAAACCTGTTCCCAGAGGCCTACATCAAAATGATATCAACAGCGACATATGCTAGACTGGCCAACATAAGAACTGCCTTTAGAAACTTGTGTAAGGAATCATTCAGGACCTCATATACCACTTATGTCAGACCAATCCTGGAATATGCAGCTCCAGCTTGGAGTTCATACCTAGTTAAACATGAGACAAAGCTAGAGAAGATTCAGCTGTATGCCACCAGGCACGTCCCAGAACTGAGAGGTCTGTGCTATGAGGAAAGGTTAAAGGAGTTGAAACTCAAGTCCCTGGAAACCAGAAGAGTAAGTGGAGACATGATAACCACCAACAAATTTTTCAGGGGAATTGACAGGGTGGACAAAGACAAATTCTTTAGCATGGGTGGAACACGAACAAGGGAACACAGATGGAAACTTAGTACCCAAATGAGCCACAGAGACATTAGAAAGAATTTTTTCACTGTCAGTAGTTAACAAATGAAATGCACTAGGAAGTGATGTGATGGAGGCTGACTCCATACACAGTTTCAAATGTAGATATGATAGAGCCCAGTAGGCTCAGGAATCTGTACACCAGTTGACTGACAGTTGAGAGGTGGGACCAAGGAGCTAAAGCTCAATCCCCGCAGGCAACGGCTGAAAGCCACATCCAGACACAAGAAGATGCACCCCCGACCAACCAAACAAGCATGAACAACCCCAGGACCCAAGCATGAACAACAAGCATGAACAACCCCCTACGCAAAGCAGCCGTCTCATTCTTCGCCAGAAAAGGAGACGGCTGCAAGCAAACAAACTTATCATGAGGACCAAAAGAGCAGAAACCCCTGCACCGGAGGAGAGCATAAAGCTCCACAACTCGACCCCCAGAGGCCAATGAAAACAAGAAAAGAGCCTTGGAAAAGCAATCCCGAACCGAAGGGAAACTTAGACGATTGTCATGCCCTTCAAGAAGACCTGGACAAAATAAGTATGTGGAGCACCACTTGGCAAATGGAGATGAGAATAAATTTATTCTCATTAAATGAGAATAAATGCCATGTTATTGAATGTGGAATAGGAGAACATAGACCCCACACAGCCTATAAATTATGTGAGAAATCTTTAAAAAATTCTGATAAAGAAAGAGATCTAGGGGGTGGTTCTAGGTAAAAAAAAACTGTCACCTGAAGACCACATTAAAAACATTGTGCGAGGAGCCTATGCTACACTTTCTAACTTCAGAATTGCTTTTAAATACATGGATGGAGAAATACTAAAGAAATTGTTCACGACTTTTGTTAGACCCAAGCTGGAATATGCAGATGTTGTATGGTGCCCGTATCTTAAGAAGCACATCAACAAACTGGAAAAGGTTCAAAGACACGCTACTGAGTGGCTCCCAGAACTGAAGGGTAAGAGCTACGAGGAGATTTTAAGAGGTATTAAATATGCTAAAACTAGAAAATAGAAGAAAAAGAGGTGATATGATCACTACGTACAACATAGTAACAGGAATCGATAAAATTTATAGGGAAGAATTCACGAGACCTGGAGCTTCAAGAACAAAAGGTCATAGATTTAAACTAACGAAACAAAGCTGCCAGAGAAATATCAGAAAATTCACTTTTGTAAACAGAGTGGTAGACGGTTGGAAGACATTAGATGAGAGGGTGGTGGAGGCCAAAACCGTAAGTAATTTCAAAGTGTTACATGACAGTGTGCTGGGGAGATGGGCCACCATGAGCGTAGCTCTCACCCTGTAACTACACTTGGGTAATTATGCTTAGGTATTAATTACTTAACTGTATAACTAACTACCGTACATGTTTATGCACTGTTACAAACCGCTAAGACGTTCTGGAGGGTGTGGTAATCTCAGAACCAGTTGTCAAAGCACAGCAAATTCAAATCTACATTCTTGAAGACAATGCACTCACATTGGTCCTTGGAATGGGCTCCAACAGGTGGGTAAAGACACAAGGTAGTGCAGCAACATGACATTTTGTATTGTAAGATGCTAGCTAAACAAAATGCTGCCTGTACCACTGTCTTCTGAGCTGAGCACATAATCTTCATCATTTTCAGAATCATCTAAGTCGTTTACAAACTCATATTTGGCCAGATTTTTATTATCTCATCTGCATGTGAAAATATAGACTAAGCTGCTTGACTGGGTTGATAGCTTGAGCCACATTACCCACCCAGGCTTGCAATCTTCATATTACTGGCCTGTAGCCAAGGCAATGTACTCAATTTTTTTTTCCAAGATGGCATCTATTTACTGAGGCTCTGAGAAAGTAGATGAACCCCGTGTACCCAGAGGAGGAGATGAGTCACAATAACATGTCTGAAGTAGTTTGACCAGACCACACACTAGAAGGTGAAGGGACGACGACGTTTCGGTCCATCCTGGACCATTCTCAAGTCGATTGTGTGATCGACTTGACTTGAGAATGCCCCAGGACGGACCGAAATGTCGTCATCCCTTCACCTTCTAGTGTATGGTCTGGTCAGAGTATCCAGAGGAGTTCCAAATGTTGTGGGGGGGGTATGTATTAGCATTTCTGAATGTAAAGCAAGTTATGGGCCAAACATCAGGGCATGTGATGCACAGTGCAAGGGTACAGTACATAAATGTCACTTACAATATACAATATCAAAACAGAATAAATTTTATAAATGCTGAAAGCTACACTTTACACACCTAACTCATTATTTTGCCCATCATTGTTCTGCAAGTGGCTTGTGGTGATGGAGGATTCACTCATCCCAGCATTCAGTGTCAAGTTGGCCAGTCTGGAATACATTATTTCATCTGTCTCATGCATACACTCACTCTTCTTGTCATCCATTGTAGCAACAGATTGTAGCACTGCATTCAGCTTGCTTCCTTGCCAATCTAATTTTAAAAGAAAAGAAATAATAGCAAACAAACATTTTTAAATTTGTTGGGACATTGGAAAAGAAACTTTAATATGCGTTATTGTGGAATTTCCCTTCAATAAATATGTTTAAATGGCTAATGCTATTCTCCTCTGGAAACTAACCACTATGCAGCTATCAACATTTACTTATCCTATTTCATTTATTTATCTAAGAAACTTTCCTAACTGCATTATGATGTCACTTCCATAGGTACAGCAGTCCTATGTGCATTGTCATGATATGGCACACACTGTTACAAGGGCACATGTACTCTATTTACAATTAAATCAAACAATACTATTGCAGCACACTCAATTCTTTTCACAGGCTCTCACTTGTCACTGGTCAATTAACTTTTCCAGAAATATCTATTTAATTGTCAGGAAACACCTTAAGAATGAGTGATATACTGTATATATAATGGTGCAGCAAGTATACAGGATAGAATAAAATAACAGAGAGAGCAGGGAGACCCCCAGCTGGATAACTGAAATTTTGAGGAACTGCTGTCACAAAGAGATGGCTTACTGACAGTCATTTTGAGTCCTATGGAAGTCAGATCTATGTTGAATGAAGTGAGTGTGTTGGGAGTGATTTTGATCCAGGATAGCCCTAGAATTTGTTGACAGAGTGCTTCGTGTGAAATATTTTGTATAAATTCATTGAATGAAGTTTATATTAATCCTATAAATTGTATTCTCCTCATTAGATATTCATGTCACAGTGTTTTTGTAACTTTATCTTGGGTAAATAATTCACTGTAAACTTATGAAACTAATCCAAATATAAATGTACTAAACAGACATTTATGAATAAAGTTATTGAACTGAATTGAATTACTGATTATTGCAGTACCATGTAGAGGTGCTGGTGATCACTATAAAGTAAGATACCCTGGTAAGATAATGGATAATCCGAAGGATCAGTTCTTAACAGTAGGCTAACTATCAATCAAAATATATTACACCTGTCTAGTACCCTTAACCTTTGCTAGGTGGCAAACAAAATAAACTTTTGTTTCCTTTCACTCAGGGTAGGATATCTTCACCCCTAGTACCTGTGTTGCATTGTGTTGGAGCCCCGGAAAGATCACAAAGCAGGACACCAGATGCTTTATATCTAATGTAAAGCACTATATTGTAGTACAGTACGTCCCCCCAAACATTCCACTATTTGGTCGAATGTTGATGCTGTGGAAAACAAATTTAGTTTCTGCATTCTTTCCGGCTCAGAAGAGTTTAAGACTCAGCATGCGAGAATTGTGGTGTACCTGGTCACAATGTGAATATAGTAAATGCTTTCTATCGTAGGCATGCAAGTTATGCAATGTGAGGTTCCCCACACATCTTGTGGTGGGTGTCGCCTCTTGCAACAACTTGTACCTTAAAACTAGTATACTCCCTGACTAGTTGCTATAGCATAAATGCTTAATTCACCTTATCGAATTCCTCACTGGACACACGGTGGGCTCAATATGATCAGTACTGTAGTAACCTTTTTGGGGCATGAACCCTTTTATTTCTTGGATTCTGGGACCTTCCAGTCTCTCTTTGCAGTGGCCTTGCGGCTCTAGTTGCTTTGCCTTGTGGCAAATTTCATGTGTAGCCTTCCGGCTATTTTACTTGTGCTGTGCCTTGCGGTGTCTGTGGGAAGTTCGAGTACACCTTGAATATATGTAGCATTTGATCATTTCCCAGGATGTGACTCATACCAGTCGATTAACACCCATATTCCTAATCACTGCTAGGTGAAGAGGCAACGGGTGTAAGGAGACTTGCCTATACATCTCACCCTGCCTGGGATCAGTGTATTCCAAGTCATGTAAGCATTCTAGAGATATTCCACATGACAGACTTCCATCCAGTGATAAAAATATATTGGCCTTGTACACACTTGGTCCAATGCTCAGTGCGCTCTGCACTACAATATGACACTGAAGTCAGCTGTGGGGAAATCTTGAGAATCCATTTTCTGATAAGGCCAAGTCCACACGACAAGCCAGATAAACATCTTGTGAAGCAAGCACCAAAATTGAAACTACACAAACAAATGTTCCTTACAAGACAAAGTCCAAGGATGTCAACAATTAGCTTCGATGCACAGGGACCTTCTACTACCAATGCAACCCAGGAGCACTTACAATGGCATTGAAGGCGCAGCATCAGTGACAGAACTGACTTGAGAGTTGGTGGAGAGGTGGGGTTCCTGCCCCCCTTCCTGGTACCAGCTTGTTAGTATTAAAGGTTTGGCTAGCTTCAAATGATTCAATCATTTTCTTTTAATTGCTTGGGAAGTTGGTTTAGCAGGTTTCAAGGCTTTGGTTCTGAACCTTGCAATTGTCTGTAATGCTTCGCTGACTTTCTGGATGCTTTTCCAGTGGGATGACAAAATGTGACCTGCTCTCTCTACCTGTGAGGGAGGCCAGGTTCTGGCCCCCCGGTAAGCCAAACAGAACTACCACAACTGCTGTGACCTAGCAGACAGGAGCAATTTCAGCGACACGCCCCACCAAGCCACAGTATCTCAACTAAGGGTTTGAATGGCCACTGTAACCTAAACTTTAAAGCCAAGCTTCTAATTTTTCAGGCTTCTTGTTCTCTGATCCCCATATACTGCACCCCTTAGTTAGTTTATGGTTTTTATCCAGGCCCTGAGACTGGATAGATGCCAGCCTTATGACATGTCATCTGAAGGGTAAAGGATGCCGACCAGGTATACCAGACCAAGCCAAGACACGTCCAAACCTGCAACGGCACCATATGGGGCTTCCACCATTTGATGAGGAACTTAAACTTCACCAACTGCAAAGGAACCAGACATCTACCATGCAGACAAGCAGACCGGCTGGGAGCTCAAACTACCAGTCAAGGAAGGCCAAGATGAAGATGAGACACCATGACCCACATCAATATGATAATGTCTTGGGTACCAGGTTCAGACTAACAGAACCTGAAAACAATAACCGAGATGCCCTACAAGAAAATCCAAAAAGCCCCTGAACTTCAGATAAATTGGGACATGCCAATACATGTACTGTACTTGAGGTCTACGGGCACAAGCCATGAATTCTCTTGCAAAACTAGGTAAACCTGGCAAAAAGTGGTCATGCAAAACATCAGAACCACTGAAGAATCAAACTGAAACAATGACGGAGGGTGAAAGAACACCTCTGTAGTGTTCAAATGCCAACAAAGAGGGAAATGGGCTAAACTGAACCCCTGCAAAGTGTGCAAGCACAGGGGGGGGCCTAGAGGAAGGTCACTCAAATAACCTTAGGCAGACAAATAGTCAAACCAGGTGGACCCCGCTCCAGGCAGAAGGAAAACAAAACAAAAAAAAAAGATAAAAAGCACAACGACAGCAGGAACAGGAAACACGGCCACTGCTAGGTAGGCGTGCTGCACAGCACCTTGCGCCCAACCCAACACCACCACCACTCCCTACCAGAGCCAAACAAAGGCCATGAAACCCCAGCTGGCACCAAGGGCGGGGTAAATGCTGAACAGCAGGAACACTACGGAACTGAAGGCCCGAAGGACCTAGGGACAGCAACCCTAGAATCCAAGGGTAGTACTTACAGGGTGCTTAGGGAAGGCAGCCCTAAGTGCATGCAGCCCCAGTACACTACGTTACTCCTGGCCATCACACCACAAACAGCAGGAAAGACCACAAGGGCACAAGATCCAGCAGGAAACCAAAGCCAGAGTTGACAACCGCCCCAGAGCACTTCAATCTACGAACTGAAGAGTGGGCAGCCGGTGTGGGGGGTCCAGGGCGCCCCCCTTCCCCTCCCCCTCCCAGATGGGGGGAGACCTGCGCAGACAAGAGGCACAGCGGCAGTGGATGTAGCTCGCTTGTTTCCTTGTTTTCTTTTAGGTGAGTTCTGTTTCTCTGTTCAGTCTTGGGTTTGCAATTTCCTACCAAGTGGGGTTTGTTTTGGAATGCCCATCTTTCTGGTTGCCTAACTCCGGTCGATAGCAGACATGGAATACTCCCAAATATAAGGGGGCTTCCTTAGGCCATTGCTTCCTGTGCCTATCTGAGGGGCCAGGTTATGGCTTGTGGTCCCCAGTAGGGAGAACTCCATTAACTGAAGCCCCAGACTAATAGAGCATATATCAGTCTGATAGCTCCAGGGAGCCATAGGGGCTCCCCTCAGAAAATCAGAGAAGAAACAAATGAGACATATTGAAATAATTATGAAAAATTATATTCGCGGTAACTGCCGCCCCACAGGGGTGGCGGGGGTGAGTGTATCTACCTGTATGTGCCTACACACACACAGTGCCAATAAATTGCTCAACTTCTCAGCTCCATCAAATCTAAAGTATCTCACATGCAATATTTTATTTTAGTTTTCCATGATCTGACTGCAGTTTAACAATATAAGAAGAGAAATTTTTTTGGGAAAAAAACATTTTCGGTGCACCACGGGGATGTTACATTATAAGGCAGTGCAGTGGTTAAGAGCCTGGTGTGGTACCCAAGGCTTGATGGTTCCCAGGTAGATAGCTCAGGAAGCCACCAATAGGGGCACTCCCGGAAATATCTGTTGTAAGTGACTTTAATATAACAAAAAATTGACATACAGTACATAGTAATGATTGTAATCTGATATTAAAACAAGTTATTTACTCCCATTTAGATCTTTTCCCCTCCTATGTAATTTAAAGTAATTTTAGTATACAGATATTAAACAAGACACTGATAATAAATCTTTTAATCTGGAAAGATGCTTACCTCTCATTTTCAGGTTGGACCACGTATTAGCATTCAAGGCTTGATGAATGCGTTTGAAGCCCCAGCTTTCAGGAAAATCATCTTCATCAGAGTTATTTGGCTCACTAGTTGTAATGGGATTTAGTTCTATGAGTTCCCACCCATTACTAATACACCATTGTTGTGCTAAAAAAAAAGACAAGAAAGAAGTCCAAATAATTAAAACAGTAAACATAGGACTTGGGCAACATTTAAATTCTTGGTGGATGTAAAACTTTGCATTCTATAAAAAAAAAAAAAAAAAATGAGTGAAATGAAATGCCTCTTTCTGCTGGGTCTCTTTGGTGGCTACCTAAAGCTAACTACATGAATATCTCTACACATGACACACATGTCTCTGCACCACATCATAGGCTAACATAGTTTCAATCTACAAATGTGGCAACAGGGAAGACCACTTTAACCCTTAAAGTGCACATCACGTCATATGACGTGCTGGACGTTGTTCCAGTCAACTGCGCATCACGTCATATGATGTGTTGGAGTACTACGCAAGATTTAAACAGCCTGCGGATACACGGGGTTCACCACACCTTCATCAGGGCTCTTGTAAACAGATGCCATTTTTTTTAAAAATCGTGGGCCAAACTCCCGGGTGTTATTGGCCTCAGTATTGAGTGAGCAACCAAACCTGACGCACGCAGCATGAGCTAACAGCACTGCTGTTCAGTTTGTGACCACAGCATCACCTAAAAATGCCAAATTATACTTGTTCATGCTATTATGTAGCGATGATATTATTACAGAAGACCCCTGACTGTGATAAAACTAACCAGGGTTCTGATAATAGCAGGATTGTGGTGATATTTAGCGCTGTGCGCCATGGAGGGAGGAGTAATGCTGTGGGAGGGAGGGAGGATGGTGGCGATGTCTTTTGACTGTGTGTGGCCACCTTTTATTGACTGCACTCAGCATACCAGCTTAGTGGTTCGCTATGGTGAACACAAATGTAGATACTTATATATAACGTCTGTATAGAGGGTATAAACAGCAAGAGAAGGTTTGGAGCCGCCATTCTGGTGAGGGCGGTGGCGTCGTCTGCATGACGCCACCGTGCAGACGACGGTGTTGTTTACTGGTTACCACGATGGTCTTTGGGCACCATACCAGTTTATTTGTACAAATATGGTGAATAAAACAGGTAGATATTTATATATAATGTGTGTATATAGCGTAATAACACAACACAGTATTGTTGGAGGAGAAATATTAGTGCGTCTGGCCTTGAGGGCAGCCGCCAATCAGCTGACTGTGTGAGTAGCCACATCTTTGTGCTTTTACTCACCATACAAGCTTAGATGTACAGTTATGGTGAACAAAACATGTAGATACTTATATATAACGTCTGTATATAGTGAATTATAGCAAAAACATTATTGTGGGAGGAGAATGTGGGTGAGTCAGATGACTGGAGGGAGGGCAGTAGTGGCTGACTGGTAAACGGCGGTCACTCCTCGTTACTTTTTGACTCATAATAGCTACTTAGTGGTTCGTTATTGTGAACAAAACATGCAGATACTTATATATAACCTGTGCTTATAATGTAATAACCGACAAAGTATTTGTTCACTGTTTGATGAACATATTTGAATCAACAATATGCACACCATATTTTTGAGTACAGCAATGATTCACTCATTTTATTATATAAATATATCAAACTACACACTATTGAATAATATTACAGCAAAAGTATGAAAAATCAATCAGAGACATTGAAATAATTCGGTAATTATCTCTTTGTGGCAACTCCGGCCTGACAGCTTGCGAGCAACAGACCGCCTTGGACGCACGCTGAGCCAGCGCCTATAATTTGCCAGACTTCCCCGCCCTATAGCGGGCAATATATGCCACTTACGATTTTTTTATTATTTTTCCCGTGATCAGTGAACACAAATTAACAGGTTAGGAAGAAAAAATATTTTTTTTTTTTTCAAAATGACATGCGCCTGTGGGGATGACAGGATATTAAACCCCGAGCATGTTAAGGGTTAATTATAGACCTGTATCATTTAAAATCGTAGTAGTCAAAATATTGGAAAAATAATTAAAATCAAATGGGTAGAACACCTGGAGAAAATTATGTAATAACAGACAGTTTAGCCTTTGATCTGGAAGATCTTGTGTAATGAATTTAGTTACAGTACTATGATTATCTTGAGGTTATCTTGAGATGATTTTGGGGCTTAGCGTCCTCGCGGCCCGGTCCAGGCCTCCTTTTTGTTACACACCCCTCAGGAAGCAGTTCATAGCAGCTGTCTAACTCCCAGGTACCTATTTATTGCTAGGTAACAGGGGGCATCAAGGTGAAAAACATTTTGCCCATTTGTCTCTGCCTCCACCGGGGATCGAACCCAGAACCTCAGGACTACGAATCCGAAGTGCTGTCCACCCAGCTGTCAGGCGCCCAAGAAGAGAGAGAGCCAAAGAGATTTTACAGGAAAGAGATGGTTGGGTTAACTGCAATTATCTGGACCTAAAAAAAGCTTTTGACAGAGTCACAAATAAAAGGTTGCTCTGGAAACTGGAACATACTAGTGGAATGAGAGGGAGGCTTCTAACATGTATGAAAAATTTTCAGAAAAAACAGCGTTGAATGTAATGAAACACCATTTTCTGGATGAGTCCCAGAGGCTCCCCGGAGCTATCCAGGCTGATAAGGATAGTCCTAACTTTAGGCATCAGTTGATGTGGGTGGAGTTATAGGCCTATTGGAAACCACTAATCAAATAAGTGGACAGAACTTCCCCAATTGAAAACGAGCAAACGAGCATGATGTCACACAAGCCGCGCCAAGCACAATTAGGTGAGTACAATTAGGTGAGTACATGTCTGCGCAGCTCCCCTCTCCCTGTTATTGGTACTAACGAATTCAAGCTAGTTTTGAGTGAATTCATTGTTTCGTTTGAATATTTTGTGGAGTTATTTGGCAGTTTAGGCTTTGTATTCTGTGAACTCTCCAGTTGTCTGTAAAGCCTTGCTAACTTTCTGAACACTTTCCTGGTGTGGTGGCAAATTGTCAATTGGCAAGCAATTCTCATAATAAAATGCACTTTTCTGGTGGGTCATTCAGTAGCTATCAGTTTCTTCTCTGTTGATTTCTTCCACACGGAAGTTTGGTAGGTTTCTGTTCAGATGGCTCATAAATAAGGTGGTCGGCTGGCAGGTACCTCAAGTGACCTGAGCTTGAGTTTCTGGTGGTGGTCAGATGCATCACAACTGGGATGTTTACTTAGCAGTAACAATTGTTTGAATTCATTTCCTCAAGGTAACAAATTTTCTTCAAGCAGTTGCTTCATTTTATTTGCTTATACTTTCTGGTGTTTTTTTCCTAGGTGTTGGGTTCATTTCCATATTACCAAGTTCCTCTCACCTCGAAGAGAGAGAGAGAGAGCTATTCTGGCCCCTGACAAAAAGTTGGTTCAAGTGGGTCTCAGAATCCTGGATGAATTCCTCTAAGCAGCGCCAATTACTATTGCTTGGAAACCTACCGAATGGTCTACCAAAAACAAAGTTGCATTACATTCAACGCTCAATTTTTAGACCACATGCTGGGCAAACTAGCCTGGAGCATTAGTGGAGCATTCTCAACCATTAATAAATTTACTATATTAGCTTTATTGTTTTTCATATACTATACCTATTGAAACAATGCTAATACTATACAAGATTAACAATTGTAGAACTTGTTACCAATCGTTCGTTACGGCTCGGAACCCTACAACGGCCAGACCTTTAATGTCTAGGGATACTACAACTGCTGTTGTCTAGAGCGGGTCACCAGTGTAACCCCGTGATTGATAACAGGCACCAAGTAAAATTTTCCCTCAGGACTGAAGAAATATACATATAAATTTTAATATATATATTAACAATATAATCAATATTATATAAAGTACAGATGGACCAATATTTCACTATTAAAGCAAAAATCAAAATACTGTCTCTCCCAGAATAAAGATCTACTAATGACAAAACATGAACTCTCAGACTTAACTCCCACAGATGTTACTCCTCCTGGTCCTTGGAAGCTACTGACCTACATAAGCGACAGGACTATAAATCATAGCATCTGCCCCGCGAAAATTTGCCAAAGTTACAAGTATTTTTAAAACTTACATGGAGCAATATATTGTGACAAGAGTAATCTTAAACTAACTTAGTAATTGGTCAGAATAACATGTATAACAGAAATAAGGTAATTATTATTTCATGTAGTAATTAAAATTAAACAAAACAAAGGAAATGTTGGCACGCCCCACCAGCAACTGACTCCCACGAACAACTTGCCAACTAATGTTCAAACAATTATAATTCACCTACTGTTACCCACTTATGATCCTTACAAATCATTATTTCCCACGGGAAAACCCGAGCACACAAAGACAAAACAAATCATCCCACGGTACGTTGGGCCTAACTCCAACAGGCAACAATGTAATAAACATACAATTGGTATACAATTATCAATGTACATATATTACGCATATATAAATGGACATACATGTAATCATTTTATACACAAAGCATATATAAGTACAAATTAATTTATTTAATTACGTATCTTAGAGAGGTACGTAACAGAACTCACCCTTTATTCTTGAGAGACCTTCATTACTTTCCTCAGAGGTACAAGCATCACACACCAGCAGCTGCACATCAGGCTCAAATTCTCCAATACTTTCTACTAAGCCATTTAAACTGTCCAAGACATCTTTCTGCAAAATATATAAAAAACCAGCATTGAATGTAATGAAATGCCATTTTCTGTGTAAGCCCCCGGAGGCTCCCTGGAGCTATCGGACTGATATATGCAATATTGATCTAGGGCATCAGTCAATGGCGTTCAGCCTACCGGGGACCACAAGCCAAAACCTGGCCCCTCTCAGAGGCACAGGGAGCAATGGCCAATGGAAATCCCCATGTATTTGGGAGCATTCCATGTCTGCCATCGACCAGAGTTAGGCACCTTGAAAAATAGGCATAACAAAACAGACCCCACTTGGTAAGAAATTTCAACCAAAGATCAAACAGAGAGGCAGAACTCCCCAAAATTTAAAAGAAACAAGCAATCATCATACACCGTCGCCATGCTGCTTGTCCGCACAGCTCTCCCCTCCCCAGAAGGGGGAAGCCCTGGACCCCCAGCGCCAGCTACTCAACACCTCAGTTCGAAGGCTGAGCATCAAAAAACAAAACTGCTGAACTGGAGGGAGGAAGGCTGACAGGCTCGCCCAGAAAATGGCGTTTCATTACATTCAATGCTGGTGTTATGTAGGGAGCCTCTCCGGCTCCCTTGAGCTACATAACCCAAGACAAGTAAAAGAGGGACATAACCGGGAGGCTGCCACCCACACATCAACTCTAAGTCGAGACAACTGGCTGCAACCTGCGACCCAAAGACACACACCAACGACTGGGACCAGGAATACTGACCATGGAACAGGCAGCCAGGACCCTGTTCGACCTCCAAAACCCCCCGTTTCCAAATGTCAGTTCAATGCATGTTGCCAAATACGTCAGTCAAAGCAGCAAGCATACGAATGTCACGGGCACGAGGGTAGACTTAATAACCCTGCAGACGACCTGGGAGATCGAGCCCTGGAACAGGGAATGAGGGAAACTGGATCAACCTAAAGCACATCCCCAGTCACAAAAGCTGAAGTGCACTGATAACGGCGAAGAGCCGTAACTGGACACAACACATGATGCACCCCTGGCCTGACCAACTACCAATCAATGACTCAAGGGACCCTACGGAAGGTCGCTGTCTCATTCTTTACCAGGAAAGAAGGAGACGGCTACAAATAAACAAACCGACCATCAGGACCGAAAGAGCAGAAGGCCCTGTGCCAGAGGAGAGCGGCTCTGCCAGCACCGCATGATATGAGGAGACAGTACTGAATTTGGCATCAAATTACGGTTCTGAAAAAACCAAGAAAGGACAAAAGAACCTGATCAGTAATAGAAGACAACCTACGAAGAGAGAGAAAATGGCGAAAAGAATGCCAGGAAACTTCATACTGTTGCCAAGACGAAGCTCGCAGGTGGGACACCATCAAAGAAGTCACCTGATCACCATACGAGTGGTAATGCACCCGGGTCAAAAGGACCAGACGTGAAGAGTGAAGGAATAGACCAAACCAGCCATGTACCGGACTGGTCTGATCTGCTGAAAGAGGCAGAGCCGCCGAAAACGCCCCGGGTTCGGACACCGAGCACGCAGTGCCTGAAACCAAGGCTGGGGGCCACCAGGGGGCCACAAGGACGACTCTTCCATGGCAATATTCCAAAGCAACAGCTGGACAGGGGGAAAGAGGTATGGATAACCACACCTCGACCAGTCTTACCAAAAGGCGTCCACCGCGACGGCTCCGCAGTCGGGGAAGGGCACCATATAAAACAGGAGATGCCGAGACCACGCCAACGTGAGGAGGTTCACCTCTGAGAGCCCGGGCATCCGGCAAAGCCAACAGAAGGAGTTGGAATCAACCGTCCATTCCATGGACATGAAATGAACAGACAGGCCGTCCCTGCCAGGACATTACACCCTCCCTGGATATGAACCGCATGGAGAGCCAAACCCCGAGAATCCAGCAGATGAGTCACCCGAAGTGACCAGCCCCAAAGAGCCAAGGACCGAAGAGAACCCATGCGGTTCAGACAACGAACCATCGGACAGCAGTCTGAATGGAGCCGGATCGTAGAACCCTTGAGCGACCCGAACCCTCCAAAGCAACAGCCAAATCGTTGCAAATTCCCGCACCGTGCTGTGAACTTGACAGAACGACGGAGCACTCCGCCCTTAGCTGGCCAGGTGAACACTGATCAGAAAACCCCAGCCGAGAGACGATGCATCCGTAAGCACATCAAGAGAGAGGCGAAAGGGACGTCCCCAAAGAAGCCAGACCCGACCCGGTGGGTAAACCAACACGGCGAAGTTCAGACTCCCCCGAAAAGCTGCTCAAGCAACCACTGAGTGACCCGGGACTTCCCAGAAACAGCTGAATATGGGACCGCAGCTGCAGCAACACCACCGGAGGGAGAGACATGGAAGCGGTCCTAGAGTCTCACACGAGGCCCAACCAAGTCTAAACCAGGGACAGAACCAGATAGAACTTCCCCAAGTTCACAAGGAACCCAAACCCGACGAACCAGGAAAGAACCACCCCTTCTGGCGACCAGACAAGCAGATTGGCTGGGAACCCACACCAAACAGTTGTCGAGGTAGGCCAACACCTGCACCTAGCAGACGTAGATGGACCGCCACAAACCGGTTAAGACGCAGAAAACGTGAGGTGCCAGAAGCCGGCCAAAGGAAAGGCGAGGAAGACGAGAAGCACAGATGTGCTTCTGATGAAGCGGGACGTGCCAACATGCATCCCGGAAGGCCAGACACGCCATCCAACAACCCGGCCCCAAAAGAAACAGAATCAGAGGGGTCACCCAGGAGGAGGAGCAAGGAAACCAGTGGGAGAGACAGGACAGGTCCAGAATGAATCGAAGGTCTGTACAGACCCATCTCGGGACTAGAACAAGTGGGAAAACCCACACGACGAACGAGAACATGTCGACCACGCCCAAGCACACCCACTCCAAGATGACCCAATGGAGCAAAGGGGAAGAAGCCTACCCTGCCAACCCCGAACCTTCCGGAGGAGGAGGAACTGCCCAATGCCACCATAGGCTGGATGACATGACCCGAACTGCCCACGAATCGTGGGACCAAGCATGGGCAAACAGAACCAGCCTTTCCACCAGTGGGCGACCTGCAAAGGGGCCGGCACCCACTCTGAGGGGAAAAAAACTAAGAAGCCGACATGCAAGCACCGCACTGACCAGACGAAGACAATTCTGGAGAAGGCACCGGCACAAAAGCTGCACCAAAGGCCCACCTCGACAAGCAAAGCTGGAGACTCGCATGACCACAAAACTCGTGTCAAGACCCAAAAAGAAGTGCAGTCTGCAAGCCAGGAAGATCCCAGAACTCCAGAAGAGGCAATTCCAGGGCACACAGGAGGGAACCATCAAAGGCCTCCCAAACCTCCAAGGGGGAAACCTGCGGGGATGAAAATCTTTAGAACGAAACTGAAGAACCCAAAGGGATCCGGAAATGAACCCAGAGGTAACCCTAACCACCACATTTGCCAGTGGAAAATGCACCACAGAAAGGAAGGCAAGACACATGAGCCAGAGAGAACCTCCAGCTAAAACAGCCAGAAAACAGACCGAAAACCAAGGGGTCAAAGGCATGGGATCAAGCAGTCTACAGGCACGGAACACTGGGCCCAAAAACCAGGGCCCAGAACCCAAACATAGACATAAAACACAAAAATGGGCAAAAAAAAACAGCACCCAAACCTTCCAAGAGGAACAGATAAGGCAGAACGCCCCAAAAGAAAGAACAAAACAGACACATGGCAACATGAGAATAAAAAAAACTCCAGATGAAGGCAAAATATGCCCCCAAGAGGCGAGCGCACACTACTAGACACATTTAAATAAACAAACCGCAGTGACGCCCTAGCGGCCAGGCAGGGAAGTGCCCTCGGAAAAGTAAAGTGGCCACCAAAACAAAATTAGACGAGGCAGACCCAAGGGAGCCGGAGGCATGCTGGCAAATGTGGGAAAATAAAGCAGATGGGAGGGATGAAAAAAAAAAACCTGCTCCCAAGGCACAAGGCCCAAGCAGGGGTAAACAACCCCAGAACCGCTGGCGAGCTTCCCCCACAGCCCCGGGAACCCACAAGACAGACCCAAGGGCAGAGCTGCCCTCCATGCCCTCCACCCTAGAAGAAAGGCAGAGTCCAAGGTAAAGGCAACAAGATGGTTAGGCCCAAAAGCCTCAGCAGGAGGAATAGGCTCAAAGGCCTTCATGGCCTCGATCTTTGAAACGAATGGGGCAGCCCCCAGAGCTGCCCGAGTCTGAGACTGCCTACCCAGACTGTAGGCAGTCTGTGTGTGTGTGTTTAGTTTCATCCCAACTAAACCCTGCCCCGACTCCGAAACCCTCTGATATTAGGGAGCCGGCAGTGGACTTTTTTTTTTTTTCAAAATGGCGTCTGTTTACTGGAGGCTTGAGAAAGTAGATGTGAGCCTCGTGAACCCTTGGGAGTTTTAAATCTTATGTGGTATGTTAAATCATCCCTATATGATAGACACAGGTTGGTCAGATATGTTGTGGTCATTCCTGTATGACTCGCACAGCAGGTTAAATGGATGGATAATGTATGCAAGCAAACAAAGTTAACTTCAATAGTACGAGGAAACACTCAAACTAGGCTATACTATGTGTAAGCTTAAAAGTAGTGCTAATTTTTAATGTCAAAGCATTTTCTAGAAAATTTTTCAAAATACAGTATTCAAAATAAACTTAAAAGTTATAACTTTAAAGATTACAGTATTACTCTAGAAGTAAAAAGTAGTAAAGGACCAGTGCACATTTTAAAATTGCAATGGTGTCACAAACCTGTGTGGAATCACAATACACTAACAGAGCTTCACCATGCTTAAGGATCCACGACAAACACTGCTCTGGGCATGACACGGCTGCTATTTGTACAGATGCATTGTAGTATTTGTTCTCAATCTCCCACTGCCAGCACTTGACCAAATTTGTAATGAAGCTTGGCTCTGGAACACATTCCACCTCCAGAATACCTAAGATAAAAGCCTGATATTAATGATAAACACACAGTACTGTATATAGCACTGTCTAACCATCTTAGGAGAATGAATCGTCGGTGAAAGAAAGGCGTTAAGTTTGGGTTAGTGGTTAATCCCTACAACCCTCACAAAATATTGTAGTAGTGTACACATATATAATTGAATAAAACAAACAAGAGTTGAAATGTTGCTCCACATATGACCTTAGAATGATGTCAAGGCGAGGTCTTGTTTGGGCTGTTTGGTTATTGTATTGCTGAAGCTGAATCAGCTGACTGCCTGTGCCTGCATACTTGAAAATTCTTAATATCATGGCAATTGAAAAGTTGTCCTACTTTCTTTGTATCTGTTGTGACACTTTCCTAACCTAACACTACGAAAACAACACACAAGACTACCACACAAGACACAGCGTACTAGATAAGGTCTGAAACATGGAAGTAAGACAACACCAGAATACAGGTGGAGGAGAGGGACAGGGTGAGTCATTCTTTGAGATGTCTGCCCATGTATGGTGTGAAATTGGTGAGGAACTGAAAGACATAAGGGGAAACCATAAGCAACCTACAAGTGAACTGAGAGCAGTAAAGGAGGAAATCGAAAGCCTCAAAGATAATCCTCCTCAGGCTCATACGACTAACCTCCAAGTAGCAGAGAATATAGCAATAGTAAGGACCTCTACATTGGGAGGCATATTTGCAGAAATGCTTAGAAAGAGCCCAGAAGCCATGGCTACAGTACAGGAAGTTGCCATGAAAGCAGCAACTTCACAGGAGGCAGCAAGTTGCACAAGTCAGCTACTGAAAAGAAAAAGGGCTGTAGTTGTGGTAGGTATTATGGAACAAAAAGGTTCCACACACAAAGAGTGGAAAGCTAAGGACAGAGCTACAGTGACAGGGATCCTGAACCCCCTTTAGAATTGTAGCTGGATTTGTAGCCCCCCTTACAAATAGAGGGGGCTACCAATGCATAGAAAAAGTTTTCATTCTTGGCCAGTACAACAAAGACAAAAATCGACTGATAAAGGGTATTATTCATGAACAAGACCATCAAAGAAGAAATTCTAGTAAAGAAGAGCAAACTTCAAAATATTATGGAATACAAAAGAGTATTCCTTCAGAGGGACATGAACAAGGATGAGAGAATCCAGGCAGCAGATTCAAGGAAGAGGCATAGGGAGAGGGAAACCGGGGAAACCAGGGAACCCACAATCACCAGTTCAGTAATCTCCAGTAATCTCAGAGAACTTCAACACCCCCGCCGACCACCCGATAGGAGACCCGCACCCAAGCCCAAGCCCTCCCTACCCCCCCTATACAATGCCCATCAAGCCACCCAAATCCTCCCCCCCCCCTCACCCCAATTACCCCCTGCCTGCCCATCCCTTGACCTTCCTCCCACCCCAAGCAGGACTAAGCAAGACCTAAGCCCTCCATTCCCCACCTTCCTCCAAACCCCTGGTAACTACCCCACAGAAGGCCAAACCTATGCAAATAGCCCTGCCCATGGAACAGCTTCCTATACTAGTAGGGAGTATGTGATAATGGATACATGAAAGTGAGCTTCAAGGTAATGTACTCAAACATTGATGGGATTACAAATAAAGCAAGTGAACTGGATGAAAGAGCACAAGAAGAAAACCCAGATTTAATAGCACTTACAGAAATGAAATTTGTCAGACATCATAAATGCAGTGTTTCTGCAAGACTACTATATATAGTAGAAAGGAGGAGGAGAAGGGGAAAGTGATGACAAGGAAGGACTGGAGTTTTGAAGAGATGGATATCCCAAGCTGTGAAGGATTTAAAGACTACATAACAGGAACTATGACAATGGGAGGACCTAAGATAATAGAGAAGTCATTTATACCCCTTTACCTTGTGGTTACCTGATGCTGATTTCAGGAATCAACGTCCCTATGGCCTAGTCTCTGACTAGCGTCCTGATTGATGGTCTGGACAACCAGACTGTTGGATGCAGCTGTTCGCAGCTTAATGTATGCATCACAGCCTGATTAATTGGGTATCTTTCGGTGGGGTTTATCAAATTTAAATTTTTTAAATTTTGCCCCGAGAGGCGAGTTTATTGGGCAGCGCCACTCATCTTGTGAGTGAACATACCGCCATAACAGAATGTACAACACTCCCCAATACGAAGAAAACCCGCTGGGTTGTTCATCCTGTCACTTGTACCCAGACACAGCTGGGACTTGCTTAACTGTCTCAAGTGAACAGCTCCTCAAACAAGAAGATTAACATTTATCAACCCTTAAAAGCTTACGTTATCTTGCGGGTGCAAAATGGGGAAATCTTTTAAGAACAGTATCAATATTTGACAAATAGTGTTTTCCTAACTCAAACAATGTGGGGTTTATTATTCTACAGTTATTCCTAATGTCTCTCAGGTGTTCACATTCACGTAGATAGTGGTCAAGGCGGTGTCCATCACTCTCACCACAGATTCTGCAACTTCGCTGATCAACTGTTGTTTCCATTCCAAATCTCCATGGATATTTGTATCCAAGACGGATTCTCGCTATTACTGATTCTCTCCCTCGTCGTCCTCCTCTTCGGCCATAATGATTGGGATTGCCAGCTGCAACCATGTTGTACCATCGTACAGATTCACTGGTTTGTGCTTCTATCCTCCTTTCCTCAGTTACCTTGTCACGGTGATGTTGCCTGATAATACCTCTAATTTGTAGTTGAGTCTTGGGTATGAAGTATTCAATATGGTCTCCTTCAGCGCCTTCAGCAGCCAGCACATCTGTTCGTTCATTTCCACATATTCCAACATGGGAGGGGATCCACAGAAACTTGATGACTCTTCCCTGATTGGTAAGTACTCTCACAGCTCTCTTGATTTCAGCGACTATCGCAAGATTTTCTGCCCGATTTTTACTTAGGCTTTGCAGTGCTGCTTTTGAATCGGTGCAAATCACTGCACCATTAGTGTTCCGTTCAAGAAACCTTAACGCCATAACAATGGCAGTTAGCTCTGCTTGCGTTGAAGAGGCATAGTTCTCAATACGTGCTTTTTCTTCATTTCTGCGTTGGAAGGTACAGTATTATCCTTGATTACCGTGTATGCTGCACCAGCCCTGCCATTGATAGGATTAGATGACCCGTCAGTGTAGATTTGATCTAGTTCATCTCCGGCTTCTTTATAAATTTCCTCGAGATACTTGTGCCTCATTTCTTGTGGTATCATGTTGGATTTTTTCATTGCCATTTCATTGATGATGATCTTGCATGAGTCATCCTCCCAGGGAGGTAACCTCTCTACAGGCAGGAGCTCATGGGCTTGCTCAAGCAGGTGAAGCTCTTCAAGGTAGCAGACTGCTCTGTGATGCCATTTTTTGCTTCTCCTGTTTCCCCCTGAAAGTAGCACAGAGCTCAGTTTTTTCTTGGCAATATCATTGTAATGGGGATCTCTGGCTATCCTAATTGCAAGCTTAGCATTCAGCTCCTGAATTCTGCTTTTAACACTGGGAAGGGATAACTCCTCTCGTAGATTAGACGATTAAACTCCAAGAATGATTGTCATGGCTTCATTTTGAATGCTTTCAAGCCTTTTCATATCGCTTTGGGAGTAGGTGCACAGTACTGGTGCGGCATAGTCTATGACGGAGCGCACATAGGCTGTGTACATCATTTTAAGCACGGCAATAGAGGCACCATGTCCATTCCAGGTCATAGCTTTCAGTACCCTAAGTCGACTTTTGCATGTTCCTATGAGTTGATTGAGCTCCTCTTTCTTTCCTTTGTTAGAGCCGACAGTGACACCAAGGTACCGATAGTGGTCAACCCATTCAAGTGTTACACCATTAATTTGCAGTTCTTCATTTTCTCTCCGCTTTTGATGGGAGTATGCCTTCGTCTTGTTTGTGGAGAGAGTGAAACCGAGCTCAATACATTTCCTTCCGAGGAGTTCAATGGACTGTTCAATTTTTCCCAAGGTGGGAGCTTGTATTAGGACATCATCTGCATATCCCACTTGTTGTGTTCCTTCCGGAAAATCAATATTTGCAATGGCGTTCATAAGTACATTGAATAGTGTAGGGCTTAAGACTCCGCCTTGGGGGGTCCCGAGTTCCATATTCATTGTTCTGGAGACTGCTCCATTGAAGCAAACCTTGGCTTTCCTTCCTGTGAGGTAGTCTTCAACCCATTTCATGAGTCTCCCCTTGACACCCATGCATGCAAGCTCGTCTAGGATCGCAATCGTTCTCTCATGAACACTGTGTGTGGTCGTTCAGTTATACCCCTTATGTGTAGTGGGCCCGTGTTGAACAGTCTCGGGCCTCTGATGATGATACAGTTCTCTCTCAGAATACCTATACCACCTTTGAAAGGGGCTGTTATTATGCAATATTCCACTCTAGAAAGCACTAGTGTCTTAAAAAATCATCATTGGAATGGCATCTCTTGTTTGAAAGCTTCTTGATATCCAACCTATCTTTTTTCCTTGCAGCTGTGACAACTACTTTATTGTGTTCTTTGAAGGTAAGGTCTTCTGACATGATTACACCCAAATCCTTTACATTGTTTTTTTGTTGTATGGTATGATTTGACTACGTTTTGTACTTGGTTTCCGTTTTTATATTTTAATTTTTTCCTTAGTGCAGGAGCTGGAACTTATCTTCATTAAATACCATACTATTTTCTGTGGCCCATTGAAAGATCTGATTTACATCAGGTTGGAGGTGATTGGTGTTCTCTATGTTGTCTACAATCATAAAAATCCTAGTGTCATCTGCAAAGGATGATACGATACTATAGTTTGTATTCTTGTCTATGTCCGATATGAGAATGACAATGAGTACTGGAGCAAGCACAATACCCTGGGGGACTGGGGCTCTTCATGGTTGATGGTCTAGATTTTACTTTGTTGACTATTATACATTGGGTTTTGATAGTTAGGAAATTGTACAGTATATCCATCTTCCTATGTTTCCAGTACAGTAATTTTGTTTGAACACATTTTGTGCACAATAACACCATGATGACATCTGTCGAAGGCTTTGGTGAAATCTGTGTATACTGTATTACATCAGCATTTTGCATGTCTTCCATGGCATCTAAGGCCATGTCATAGTGGTTCAGCAATTGTGATAGGTAAGAGCATTCTGTTCAAACCCATGTTGTCCAGGGTTATGGAGATGCTGTGATTCCGTATGTTTTGTGAACTTACTTCTTAGCACTCTTTCAAATATTTTTATTATGTGATGATGTTGCTATTGGTCTAATTTTTTGCAGACCAATAGAAACCAATAGCAGCTTCTCTGCCTTATTCCCTCCTTTATGGAGTGGTGTTATCTCTGCTGTTTTTAGTATGCCAGGGACAACACCAATATCTAGGCTCCATCTCCAAAGAATGATAAGTTTCTCAATTAAATTACAGAAGTACAGTTGGCCCCCCCCCCACTCCCCCATTAAATAACAGAAGATCCAGAAGTTTGAAAGAAATACTATGGCAACCATTAATACAACAGAGCAGCTTTAGTTGCCAGCAGGAATGGATCTAGACTTTTAACCCTTAAACTGCCCATGGCGTATACAATAGATACAACAGGACCTGATGGTACCACAAGTTAAATTTCTCAAACTTGTTCTAACGCTTTCCAATTTTTTGTGCATAATCTACTAGGCAAACGCTCCAACTTTGTCTAAATGATCACCAGCAAAACTTGAAAATCAAGAAAATTAAAAATAATTATAAAATTTAATATTGAAAATTTCAGATTTTCTGATCAGCTGCAAAAATATTAAATATCACCAAATGTTTATTAAGTGTTATTATGCTCTCAGAATAGTATATGATCTTCATTTTAATAGATATAGAATATAGATTTCAGTTTAGTTTACTGTAAAAAAAATCATTAATATGGCATTTGAAATACAGTATGCACCAAATTCAGACAACATAAATTTATAACTCCAAACATTCAGGGTTTATGAAAAATCCATTCTAATAGGATTGTAGAACAGACAGCTGTGCACACTATATGTAAAAATGGTGAGAATCGGTCAGAAACTGGATTTTTTGAAGCTGACTCAAAGTTGAAACTCTAGTTTTAGAGATACAGTAATTGAAGTTGAAGTTATCGACAATGTATAAGGTAGTTTTAATTCATTAATTTACTTGTATGTTTTAATAAACATTGTTTGGCATTCGTACTCGAATATGTGAAAGTTGTAGGTCAATATGTGTATAGGTCAATAAGTCAAGAAAAAATACACCCCCCCCCCCAAAAAAAAACACAAAATGTAGGTATAATTATAATTACTTAGGAGATAAAGATGTCACGGTAAACTCCATTACATCCACCGAGAGCTATTACAGTACAGTATATCTATATTTGCATCACATATGCAAAACCCAGATAATAATTGTTTAAATCATTGTATGATGATAACCACATTACTCTGTGAATCAACGAATATGATAAACGCTGTCTAAGGGTTAATTCTGTTACATCTGTGTTTGGAATTCTGTAAACAGCTCCTACTGATGTAAGATGGAGTCTGAGCCTTTGATAGTGTTCTAATGTTGTTTTATTAGTATACTTGTACATATGTTTATACATTCACAAACAAATTTAATTATATTTAAATTTATTGTACTTCTTGTACAAAAGATTATATGGGGTTATAAACCCATGGAAAAGCCTACCTGCTGAAGCTGTAAATACAAAAGTACTGTTAAATTGTAAAATCCAACTGGAAAGGATCATGAGGGCAAATGGGGGGGGACCTTTGACAAGCCACCGGTTTCCTGTCCTCGTCGAGACCACTAGTGTTAGTTTCCCCTAAGGTAAATTCAGGTAATACTTAGCTGAATGGGCCCTCTGGGTCACTCAGTCTCTGATACAGTTATCTTGAGATGATTTCGGGGCTTAGTGTCCCTGCGGCCTGGTCCTCGACCAGGCCTCCTCCCCCAGGAAGCAGCCTGTAGCAGCTGTTTAACTCCCAGGCACCTATTTACTGCTAGGTAACAGGGCCATCAGGGTGAAAGAAACATTTTGCCCATTTGTCTCCGCCTCCACCGGGGATCGAACCCGGAACCTCAGGACTACGAATCCGAAGCGCTGTCCACCCAGCTGTCAGGTGCCTATATAGTTGGATTAGGTTTTGGATTATGTTGGGTCGGGTGGATTTATTTTGTAGCACTGAGTTGCCAGTTCAAACTTTTCCAGTCTTAGGACCCCCTAGTTGCTGGAAGCAGGGCCGGGTGTAGGGGGAAGAGAAAAGGTTACTGGAGCCTCACCTTTAACCACATGAGTGGCCTCCTTGGCATGTGTGGAGAGCACTATAATGCTGGGTACAGACTCCATAGTTCTTTATAATAGGTGCAATTTGCGTGAGTTGTTTTCCCTTCCGATAACAGAACAACTGCACTTGTGTCACCTTTAACTTCAAGTCGAGACCTTACTAATTGTCATACAACTGCCTTCTGCTTCTCCCTTAATGCAAATTACTCATATAATTCCCTACGACTAATTTCATTCCTGTGTAACTGGGCTTCTTTAAGAAATAATACAGGAACACGACACCTCTTGATCTGTGGGAGGTTGTGTTTATGGCGTCAGCTGATCGTTGGTGATCCAGGGTTGCCAGATCCAACTTGCGGAAAGTAGCGATCTGACGGTCTAAAAGTAGCGAAATTGTAATAAAAGTAGCCCAATTTTGGGGGGAGTGAATGATACGGGTTTCAAAATAATAAATTTTGATATATACACACAAGCACAAATAACATAGTTGAGATAAGGATAGATGAGGGAGTAATAGAGCGTCACCAGGGCAGGGCGAGGTACATAATATCTGATCTTAGAAAGAATGCCAACAGTTTTTGAAACTTTTTTTTTATATATTTAGAATGTGTCCCTGGAAATTCAGCTTCTGGTCAATGAGAACGCCAAGGAATTTGCCATCTATTTTGTTACAAATTTGGGTATTATTTATCCTGAGATTTATTTGATTTGAGGATTTATTGCCAAACAAAATATAGAAAGTTTTGTCAATGTTGAGGGGTGAGTTTGTTGACAGTTAGCCAAAGATGGACTTTATTTAGCTCAGAATTCACTGTGACATTAAGAGCAAGGGGGTCAGGACTGGAGTAAATGAAGGTTGTGTCGTCAGCAAATAGAACTGGTTTGAGGTGTTGGCAGGCATTTGGAAGGTCATTAATGTAGATGAGAAAGAGGAGAGGGCCAAGTATGCTGCCCTGAGGAACACCAATGTTGATGGGTAGGGTGGGAGAAATTGAATTATTCACAGAAACATACTGGAGCCTGTCAGTAAGGTAAGATTTGAGGTATTGCAGGGAGTGACTCATAACGATGTAATTTAAGAAGAAAGTTTTGGTGGTTGACAGTGTCAAACGCCTTACGCAGGTCCACAAATAACCCAACAGGGAACTCATTTTTATCAAGAGCTGCATGTATCAAGTTAATCATAGTAATAAGTGCATCGTTAGTGCTTTTTTTTGGGCCTGAAGCCATACTGACACGACCTAAGTTTATTGTGTTTGACTAGATAAGAGTAAAGCTGCTTGTAGATTAGTTTTTCAAATATTTTTGACAAGTTTGGCAGGACTGATATAGGTCTGTAGTTGTTAACATCAGTGAGATCACCACATTTGTGGACAGGGGTTACTCTCGCTTTTTTTAGAATATCTGGAAAGGTTTGGAGTTCAAATGACTTGTTGAAGAGCAATGCAATAGCAGGGGCTAAAGATCTGGAGGCTTTTTTGTAAATTAAAGTTGGTATCTCCTCAAGGGCACTAGACTTGGTTTTAAGGGAAAGGATTATCTCATTAACATCAGTGGAATTTGCAGGCGTTAGGTACAAAGACTGTGGATAGTTACCTGTAAGATAGTCCTGAACATCAGTACTGGAAGATGGAATATCATTTGCAAGGGATGACCCAATGGAAGAGAAGAACCTACTGAACTCAATAGCAGTATCAGAGGCTGTAAGCTGACCATCGTTATTGGACAGGAGTATTCGTTTGTTATTTAAAATCTTCTTTGATCCCAATATTTGTAAAATTGTGCTCCATGTTTTCTTAATGTTGCCTTGTAACTTGTAACTCACTTGTAACACTTATATCCTGTGCTTTCTATTTTAACCTGCTATGTTAAATGGGATTCTTGTATTGTGATTTGTGTATTTGTACTCACTGAATTTGTGCGCCCCTTGAGGGACTTGAAGTAGAGGGGAAGTGGGGGGGGGGGGGTAGAAATAGCCTAAGCTACTCTATCCCTTTGAGATGTATTTTTTATTGTCTCAATTTACATATTTGAACTTGAAGAGGACTTTAATGTGTTTTGGGCAGCTTTTTTTCCTTAGTTTCCGAGCTGTTTTCTTTACCGTGTATGTTGTAATAAACTATTCATATATTTACAGTTGTTTCTCCCTGTGAAGATTATTAAACAATGGTGATTATAAGGGCGCGGAAGTTCAGCCTGGCCATCAGGGCCGCCAGTAGCCCTTGGGCCCGCCCCGGCAGCACCCAGTCTTTAAATTGGCACCTTTGTGGGACCTTGGTATAAGCCTAACATGTATATATACACTGGCTGCCTGTCCCCCTATACAATGATTTATTATTACCTATTATTTTATCATTTAGTTTAAATATTAAATAAAATAATTTATTTAATTATTATAGTAAGTACTTAATAATTTAATAATAAGTAGTAAGTACATAAAAATGATTAAAAAGTACAGTTTAGTCATAGGAGATTCCTAGATTGGAATTCACTACCAAATTTTAATATATCCAAGTATTTTTTAGTGTGAAATGCTGTTATTATATGCATAAATTGTTGTTTTAATAAGATTACGCTTAACCACTTGAGCTGGACGGTAGAGCGACGGTCTCGTTTCCTACAGGTCCGCGTTCAATCCCCGACTGCCCAAGAGGATGGGCACCATTCCTTTCCCTCGTTCCATCCCAAATCCGTATCCTGATCCCTTCCGAGTGCTATATAGTCGTATTGGCTTGGCGCTTTCACTTGATAGTTCCCCACCCCCCTGAATAATATTACGAGAGCAGTATTTACGGGCTATTCATGCCCGTACCACCTCTTGGGTGACTTAATCTTCATCATTCGAGAGCAGTACGTCCTAACCAGACATTATATGATGATATCCTGAACAGTTGATAAATAAAAGTAATTGCGGAACTCGGGCTTCTTCTTCTTCTTTCGCATACCCGCCGAAAGACTTCGGCGGGTATGCGTTTCCACAACGTTATAATTCTATGGGTGAAAACAAATATTTTCCATCCTTCAGTGTGGCTTGTTGAGCTCGAAACCGTTGCTCCTTGTTCGTCTTACATCTAGCCTTTTGAAGAAGTGTTCTCGATTAATATCTTCCAAATTGTTCAGTAATTTAAAAGTTTTGCTGAGATATATATATATATATATATATATATATATATATATATATATATATATATATATATATATATATATATATATATATATATATATATATATATATATATATAGGGGGGTACCACCACTGGTGTAATTATAGGGACCCACAGCCTCAGAGAAGGGAACACAGAGCACTCAGGGAAAAACTTGACATTTAACTCTGAATACGAAAGAGTGTTCACTTCTCCTACCACCCCCTTTTTTTTTTATTATGATGTACACTTTATTATGCAAGGTTATACAGTTACATATCTGATTTTATACAAAAAATGAACATTAAGAGGACACAAGAAAAAGTTCGCTTCCTAGAGGCTGTAGATTTCCTCGAACTCCTCCGACGCCGGGCAGGAACCGAGGATGCAGCGGGCATTTCCCCTCTGGATCGCGACACTGAGGCGCTGAAAGAGAAAACTTGCTGCTCTAGGGTCTCTTGTGGTGTCAATGAGCTTGGAACCAAGATCCTTAAGAAACCTTCTTGCACTCTCACCCCATGGGCCTAGGGTCTCAGACCCTATTGGAACGAAATTGTACCTTTGATCTAATTGCCTGTACTTGACTGACTTTTGTTTTTCTCTGTGTGTCGCTGCGGCTCCTGCCGTGCCGGCAGAGAGGGTGATGTATGTCGTTGCCAGGGTGGATACGCAAGTATAGTCCCATGCTAACTGCCTGCCACCCTTCCACGGACGCAGTGTGATTCCGTCTGGTCGGCCGGCAAAGCTAACAGAGTCACGGTTCAGTAGGTTGCGGGGCTCTCTCTCCGCTGGACACTGAGCAGAGGCAAGGCTTCTTTTAATGATGTCGTTGACTTCGTCGTGTCTAGTGTGCCAACCACCCGATTTTCCACAGTGCAGGCCATGCAATCCATATTCGTCAGCATCTGCCTCGCCGCAAATACACCTGTGAACAGTGTGGATAGGGGCAGCAAGGCGGAGAGCGACTGCAATACGGAGCTCCTGCGGATCAAGACGTGTGCCTGTCGCAGACATAGGGACTGCCAGAAGGAAGTCCCCTGCATGGGGAGCCTGCACAGCTGTGAGGCGTGCACGATCACTGGGGGTTGTTGCTGCCTCCAGCAAAGCTGTGGCTTCTTTGTCTACAATGGGGCTGTCCCAACTGGATTGTTTCTTGGCTTTCGGCATGGCTGGTCTGAGTGCTGGGTCTGTCATGGCACCCCATTTCGTGTCACATTCCGTGTAGTGGGGGTCCTGTATCCCCGCTACATCACTCAGGGTGTCAGGTAGAATTTCCTTAACCAGGTCATCTGATGCTGAGGAGGAAGACAGGAAGGCTGGGACTGCAATTTGGGTGGCGGTGCGGACACCCAAGCCACCGAGCCTGACAGGAAGAGTGGCTTGTTTCCACTGGCATTCGTTGAGAGAGAGGTTAACAACTTTTTCCAGCATGGTCTTCAGTAGGAGGTCATACTCGTCAAGCTTTGGGTTGTTGTAAGATGGGGCGCACCTCAGAAAGTAGGTTAGCCTCGGAAGGGATAGGCATTTGGTGAGGAGATAAAAAGCATCGTGGGCATCGATGTCACCTATTCTGTCTTCCATCCTCCTAAGGTCTGCGATTTTCTTGTCGAGGATCTCCTCAATGGCGTTAGACCCGAGGGGAGCTCCAAGGAGGGTGCTGTTCTCGGCCCTAATGACATGGGCTCCAGGCAAGGCAGACCTTATTCTAGCTACGATGTCTGGGTTGGAGGAGACTACTTCACACTTGGAAGGGTTCAGGACGAGACCCAGGCTTACTTCTTGCTCCCTTATTTTCCTGATATCTGACAAGAGGTGGTCTACGGTGCCAGCTATAGTGCCATCATCCAAAAACCAGATGTTGAACTCGCTGGACAAGCTTTCGGTGATTTCTTTTAAGACTAAGCAGAAAAGAAGGGGAGCAAGAGGATCACCTTGCTGAACACCTTCACATGATCTGATTTCATGTTCACCAAAGAGCAGTTTTGACTCGCCACTGTAGCACGATAGTATGAACGGGTAGAGGGGCCGGAAATGGCGATGTACGGCACAAAGTACTGCATCTCTTCTTACCATGTTGAAGGCATTCTTAAAGTCCAGTTTGAGCAGGGCCTTTTCATCAGAAATGTTTGTGATGTATGCTCGTGCTGCATGGGCAGCCGCTTCACAGCCTTGGGGGATTCCAAATCCTAGCTGGATTGG